TTCTCTGTAGTTTTGTCCATTTTTGCTTTGCATATTTTGAGGCAATTGTATTAGTTCATACACGTTTAGAATAGTTACATCTTACCATGAACTAAACTTTTTAAAAGTTATTTCTGTATTCTTAATAATATTTTCTCTTAAACCTTATACTATAACTATTTCAGCTTTGTTTATATTGGTATTTCTTTTCTTCTTTTTTTTTTTTTTTTGGCAGCTGGCTGGTGAGGGAATCTGAACCTTTGACCTTGGGGTTATCAGGGCCATGCTCTACCAAGTGAGCTAACCGGCCAGCTCCTATATTAGTATTTGCCTACATATTTTTCCACCCTTTCACTTTCAGCCTTTGTATGTCTTTATAATTCAGATATATTGCTTCTCAATAGCATACAGCCGGATTGTCATAAAACTCCAATTTGATTTTCTCTATATTTTAACTGGTAATTTTAACCCCTGTGTGATTATTGTGATAATAATTTATTTGAATTTGTTTCTACCATATTATTTTTGTATCTTTGTTTGTTTCATTTTGTTTTGTGGTTGGCCAGTAAGGATATCCAATCTACCCTATTACCTTTCTTTTTTTTTTTTCTTTTTTTACTGACCGGTAACGGGATCGCAACCCTCGGTGTTGTGCCCGCGCCACGCTCAGCCAGTGAGCGGGAACCGGTCACCACATGGGATCTGAACCCTCGGCGGGAGCGCTGTCATGCTCCCAAGCGGTGCACTCTCCAGTGCGCCACTGGGCCGGCCCTACCCTATTATCTTTCAAATAAACTTTTTATTTTGGAATAATTTTAAATTTACAGAAAAGTTGCAAAGACAGTACAAAGAGTTCCCATACAACTTTCATTCAGTTTCCCTAATGTTAACATCTTACATACATTTGTGAAAACTCAGAAATTAACATTAGTCTATTACTATTAACTAAATCACAAACTTTATTCAGTTTCACCAGTTTTCCCACTAATGTGCTTTTTCTGTTCAGATCTAATCCAGATGCCGCTTTGCATTTAGCCATATTATTTTAAATTTTTGTCCCACTTTCTCAGTGTTTCTTGCATGCTTTAGATTGGCTGTTCATTTGTGTTCCTGCTCTATTTTTCCCTGTCTACCTGTTTGGAATTTACATAATTCACTTATATTCTTTAAGTGGTTACTCTTGAAACTTTACCATGCATATTTAATTTAACAAAGTCTAAATTTAAAGTTTCTTTTTTTTTTTGTCCTTTTTGAGACCGGCCACACTGCACTCAGCCAGTGAGCGCACTGGCCATCCCTATATAGGGTCCGAACCCGCGGCGGGAGCGCTAATGCGCTCCCAGCGCCGCACTCTCCCGAGTGCGCCATGGGCTCGGCCCTTAAACAGTTTCTTAATTCACCTCTGGAACACTACAAGGACCATAGAACTCTGTAATTGTAATTATTCACCCGTCTGACTAACATACTATTGTTGTTCAGTATTTCATCAGTCTTTTTTATTTTTTAAACTCCACAGACTAAATTATTATCATTATATACAAGCAGTGTTTGTTTCAATTTTCACGTGTTCAACATTTTTTCCCTTTTGGCTCTCCATTCCTTCTTACATCTCAGATTGTCTTTTGAGGTCATTTTCTTTCTGAATGACGTCCTTTATAAGTTCCTTTGGTGCAGGTGTCTTAGCTTGGGTTCCCTGGAAAGCAGAGCTTGACACCAAAGCTAATGTGCTGCTACTTTATTAAGGAGCTCAGTCCCAGCAAATTAGGAATGGGGGCTAGAGGAATGAGGGATGAAAGGGAGAGAGCACACACAGGGGTGAGTTAATGAGCTGCCACTATTTGGTGTCAAGCACTCTGGATTGCTTGATTTTGTAAGTTAGTCTTCTGACAGGATATAACAACTGTGTTTCAGGATAGATACAAATTCACTCACCAGCTTCCATCTCCAGTTGGCCCAGGTTTTAAGTTCCACCAGATAGAATATAGCTCCTCTGTACTTCTGGGTTGTACATGTGTGTTCATCTCATCCCTCAGTGACACCCGGGAAGCCCCTGGGTGGGACAAGAAGCATAAATTCCACAAAGCAGTTCTGGAAGCAATGGTGAGATGTCAGCACTCCTCCACCCTTAGATGGAGCCTGTGTATTTTACTACTGGGGACTGTGGTCGGTAGTCTCCAAATATGGCCATTAAGAATTCCTCTCATCATTGTAAATACAAGCTGCTCCTCACATCAAGGCAGCATCTGTTTCCTCTCCACTTGAGTCTGCATTGGTCTTATGAAGTGAAGTTCTGGTGTCTGAGCCTATGCCTTAAAAGTTTCCACTCCTTCCCTGTGGCAGCCAGCTACCATACTACGAAGCAGCTTGTGCTAGACTTCTGAGTGATATGATCCCATGTACAGAGAGAGGGGCCACATGGAGGACCACCAAGAGGTCAGCCATGTCAGTGAAATTTTCTTGAACCTTCAAACTCAGCAAAGTTTCACGCAAGCAATTTGCAGTTCCTCCAGTAATATGTTAAAGTGTGCATTTCCCTGTACTATCACCAACACTTGGTTGTATGATTTTTATTTATTTCGGGAGGTTAGTAAGTGCATAATTCAAATGATTAAATTGCTTTGTTCAAATGGCCATTTGGAAGCAAAGTCATATATTAGAACTTGTTTAACAGTCAGTCATGGCTTAGAACATTACTCAAACCTTGTCTTTTGGCAAGTATCTGGAGTTTGGATGCTTCTAGATCATGGCCACAGTCTTTATTGGATTCTTACAGAGTAAGTTTTTTTCCCTCTTCCAGGACAACAGTAATGTTAAATTATCATTTGTGAAATGTTTTGAAAGATGAAGTTCTGTTTATAATTATAAGGAGTCCTAAGGTCATATCCTACAAAAACCCAGCTTCCTGCCATCATGCTTTTCCTCCTCCAGATGTTACAATCTATTTATGGTTGGAAATAAAAGGTGAAACAGTGTCAGTCAGCTCAGCTATGCACCCTCATGTTGATCTCCTTTTCTTTCACCAGGATGTTTTGATTGTTTGGTCTTGGCGGCAAGCATCACTGGATACATGCATTTCCTGCATTTGTACCTAGCTTTGCAGGAACCAGAAATATTCTGTAGGTGAGATGCCTTGGGTACCTCAAGACAGTTCTGTTGGAGGCAGAATGGGGCACAGTGCTTGAGTTCCACCTTTGCCTCAGCCACCGACCAGCTCTGTGACCTGTAACCAGTCATTTAATCCTCTCATCTCAGTATTTTCATCCATAAAATAAGACCTACCCTTTTCTCATCAAAGAGTTCTTTCAAGAAGGATAATAAAAATAAGACAACATAGGTGAAAGCACTTTGTGTGCTCTATCTCTCCCTCTGTGTGTATATATGTGTGCATATGTAAACATATGTGTATATATGAGTCTATATTGTAATCCAAATATGAAGTGTTATTATGAGTCTCTGTGAAGGGTGAAAAAATGGGGGAAGATGGTGTCATGATGTTCCTGGTCCTGGAATGCCTTTCTCTTTAAGCCTCCAAGCTCCATGCCACACAATACTTTAATACCAGAAAGAGCATTGAAAGACCACAGCATCCAGAGTAAATCTGGAGAGTGGAATCCATATGAGGTAAGGTCCCAGAGGGGCAAGATCTCTCAGGGCCTATGGTCTATGGAAAGAATGTTAGTTTCATTGTAAGTGCAATGGGAAGCCATCACATAATCGGATTTACATTAGAGAGATCACGTGCTGCTTTGTGGAGCCATTTTGTGTGTATTTGGAGGAAGAGGTTGAGAATGGGAGTGGGGAGACCCTATAGCAACTGCTTGTTGCCGTCTTCAGGTGAAAGGAGGGTAGCCTGGAGCATGATTCAACAGTGGAGTTAGAACCGGACAAACCCAAGACGTGTGATAAACATTTAATACAACAAAAGTATACACCGGGCACACACACGTAGATGCATGCTATATCCCATTACAACATACAATAATTGCTTACATAGGTCTCCTTTACCCACTGGATGGCAGATTATGAGCTCACAGAGGCCACCACGAAGTAGTAATCATAAAACCGAAAATTAATTCCATGCTTGATTTAACTTTCGCAAAAGTTCTATGAGAGGCACCTTTAAAATCGCCATTTCACAGATTAAAAAAAACCGAGCATCAAGGTATATAAATGATATGCTCACAGTTTCACGGCTAGCAAGAAAAATCACGGGATTTACCTCCTTGTTTTGGATCGACTATATTTTATTTTATTGCCGTTTAGCCTCAGGAGAGCGCAGACTTTGAGGTCTTGGGGATTTTTGGCTCCGCCCCTCGGGCAACTTCCGTAGACAACGCTAAGCCTCGACTCCCCCACGCCCCGGAAACTACATTTCCCAGCAGGCCGCGCGTCCGGCGTGACGTGCTTCCTCCCGGCGTGCCCCGCGGCGGGAAGGAGCCGAGAGGGTTCGAGGCCGACGCCACCAGTTCTCGTCGCAG